AGTGAGGTGAATTCACTTGGCTAAGGTCACTCTGCCAGGATGTAACAGAGCCAAGATGAGAAGCCAGGACTATGGTTCCAGAGGACTGACCCTGACATAGCACTTTGGGAGGCTGAGGTGGGAGGATTGCTTGGGCCCGGGCTGTCAAGGCTTCAGTGAGCCAGGTGTGCAACATTGCACTCCAGCCTGGGTGACAGACTGAGACTCTGTCCCAAAATAACTAATTAAGAGGGAAGGGGCTGGGCTTGGTGGCTCAAGCCTGTAATCCTAGCACTTTGGGAGGCCGAGGTGGGTGGATCACGAGGTCAGGAGTTTGAGACCAGCCTGGCCAAGATGGTGAAACCCCGTCTCTACTAAAAATACAAAAGTTAGCCTGGGCGCGGTGGCAGGTGCCTGTAGTCCCAGCTACCCAGGAGGCTGAGGCAGGAGAATCACTTGAATCCGGAAGGCGGAGGTTGCAGTGAGCTGAGATCGTGCCACTGCACTCTAGCCTGGGTGACAGAACAAGACTCTGTCTCAAAAAAAAAAAAAAAAAAAAAGGAAGGAAGGAACTGGATCACTTGCCCACCCCTCAACCCCTGGCAAGGTTACATTGCACCCCTGTGGCTGTGTTAACTGTCAGGATTTACTCAAGTCACGTTGACAGAGGGCTGGCTGCCAGAGTGGAATCTGGGCAAGCAGGAACAGAGAAGATGATGGCTGCTGAGGTGGCAGCCAACAAGGCTACATCATCTGACCATCATTTTGCCCAGGCATCCTGTCATTTACCTGTCTATTGTTCCATCGGTTGGTGTGTACGACTGACAGAGCAGGCGGGAGCTCTGCCTGGGCGAGGCTCCTGCCCACAGTCGTATCTATCTTGGTGCTTTCCTCTGTGGTCAAAAGGGAAGCTCAAGCCAGCATCCCATAGCCCAACCCTGCTCCCCGTAAGGTGCCTCCCCAGATTTAGTATCTCCAGCTTCTGCCTGGAGACACCTTAAACCACAGCTAGTCAGCTCCTCCCAAAACCCCAAACCCTTTATCTATAAAGTGAGTTATCTTCCAAAAAGAGATAATTACTTTAAAATTACTCAGATGAGGTTAAAGACAGCAATTTGATCTTCTGTACTGCCAGAGATGTTTCCCCAGAGCTGTATGTGATGAGATGCTGGGATGTCCCGATTTCCAATCAGTTGACCAAAATTGGACGGTGATAGACATGGTCCCAGATGGGATATATTCAGCATCCCAATGGATGGTCAACATAGTTCAGTTTGCATTGGGATGATAAAAAGTCTTGTTAGTTGGGTGGGGCACAGTGGCTCACACCTATAATCCCAGCACTTTGGGAGGCCGAGGTGGGCAGTTGCAGGCAGGTCACTTGAGGAGTTTGAGACCAGCCTGGCCAATATGGTGAAACCCCATCTCTACTAAAAATACAAAAATTAGCTTGTCATCTTGGCGCGTGCCTGTCTTCCCTTGGGAGGCTGAGGCAAGAGAATATCGCTTGAACGCTAGAAGTAGAAGTTCGCGCCACTGCTGCACTCCAGCCTAAGCAATAGATCAAGACTCCGTCTCAAAAAAACAAAAAAAGTCTTGTTAGCAAGAGAAGTACATGGTTGGATAAAGTACAGGTTGTCTGATTGGGGAGAGTAGCTGAGAGATGAAACAAGGTCAAATATGCCTGATGAAAGAGGAGGGTCTATCAATTAGGTTTAGCTGCATAGTATACAAAATAGTGGTTCTGACAAGATTGTTTCTTTCCCCACATTGACGGGAAACCAGGCCCCTCCTCCTTGATGTATCGCTGTCCTTGGCCTTTTGCCTCCTGGTTCAAGGTGGCTGTTCAAGCTGTAGCCTTGAGGAGGTGGTGAAGCAAAGGCATCCGCAGCCCACTGGTGAGGAGGCTTCGAGGCTGGAAGTCATGTGTGGCGCCTCCACTTTTATCTCATTGGCCAGAGCTGCAAGGGATCCTGGGACATGTAGTCTGGTGATCCAGTCTCATTGCTGCCCCAGATACAGTTGGGATTCTGTTACCAAGGAGGAAGGAGAGGCTAGTCATGGGGAGCAGCCTGCAGCGTCTGCCACTCAGACTTTCCGCTCTCCCCGGGCTCATCCTAGCCATTTTTCCTGAGTGCCGAGGATTTCACAGTGACTTGGGAAAACTGAGTAAGTGCATCAACACTCCGATCTCCAGCAAGGATGGAGCCACATTTTACCAGGCAGCTAGCCAGGTGTGAAGTCAGCTAGTAAGGTGAAGATTGCTTATAGTCAAAGTTGCTTTTGTAAAATCCCTTTGATTGCTGGAAGCTGGGCCCTCAGACTTTGAGAAAAGTAAGAATTCACGTTTTGTCCATCCTGTGTTTGGGCTCTGTCTTCCTCTCCTGGAAGTGTCAGAGGTCAAGGTCTGGTTAAGGGCAAGGAGGATGGTGTGTTTTTTCCTGGCAAGTGAGTAGAGTTGAGTTTTCAGAGAGTGCAGTGCTCCTTGAAACACCCCTCTACTGTGCTCAGGGCGTTGAAGCCAGGGGGTTAGAGCAGGGTCTCTGTAGAGACAGTCCTGGCTTTGAGCTGGCAGGATGACCCTGAATAAGTCAATTACTTTCTCTTCGGCATCTTGGGGGATCCCAGTTTATGACCTCACCTCCCCCTGCCAGATCCTCCCAAGTTGAAAGTACAGGTGCCAGGAGCCAACCAGGGAATTGCAATATCAAGACTTTTTTTTGTTAGTTTTTTTTTTTTTTGAAATGGACTCTCACTCTGTCGTCCAGGCTGGAGCACAGTGGCACAATCTTGGCTCCTTGCAACCTGCAACCTCCACCTCCTGGGTTCAAGTGATTCTCCTGCCTCAGCCTCCCAAGTAGCTGAGACATCACAGGCACACACCACCACACCTGGCTAATTTTTGTATTTTTAGTAGAGATGGGGTTTTGCCATATTGGCCAGGCTGGTCTCGAACTCCTGAGCTCTAGTGATCCGCCCACCTCGGCCTCCCAAAGTGCTGGGATTACAGGTGTGAGCCACCACGCCTGGCTAATATCAACATTACTAATGGAGGCTCAGTAACTCCCCCAGAGCACAGGGCCTGTGTCAGTGAGGTACTTCTGGCTGAAGCAACCAAACTTTGGCTCAAACATTGTAGGAATTTGTTATCTCGCAGAAAAGGAAGTTCAGGAGCAGGGCAGGTTCCAGGGAGGGTGAACCCAGCTTCTTGACCACATTATATCAAGGGCCAGATTCCTTCTGCCTCCTCTCTTCCACCATCAGAGTGGGCCTCACCTGCAGGCTGGTAGCAAGAGGGCAGCAGCAGCTTGTGATGTTAAATCTGGACCCAGCAGCATCTGGAGGGCAAAGAGAGGCCATCTTTTCTTGTCATCCCTCTTAGGAGCAAGGAGATTTCCCAGAAGCCTCTGGGCGGACTTACCCCGTTTCAGTCAGACGGTACTGGGTAACAGACACCTGAAAGTCTCTGTGGCTTAAATCAGCAAAGTTTATTTCTCGGCCCCTCCTCAGTTCCACTGCTGGTTGGCAGGGACCTCTCAGGACCCAGGCTCCCCAGGCAGCCAGCAACTCCCAGTCACTTCCCTGACAGCTCAGCTACGAGCGCTGGTCACATAACTCCATTCAGCCAGTCTCAAGGGACCCGGAAGTGTGTCCTGCTACCTGCTTGGAAGTGGAGAACTGGAAATGTTTTGTGGGCGTCTTAATAACTCTGACCTCCCTTCATGTCTCATCAGCCAAAATTGTGTCACAGGCCTGTCTCTGAACCAACCTGAGGCAGGGAGAAGACTTTCTACCATGACCGACTGTGATCCAGGGAGGACTGGACATTAGGAAGTGTCTACAAGATTCTCCCCATGGTTGTAGACAGGGCCACTGGGGCTGGGCATGGTGGCTTACACCTGTAGTCCCAGCGCTTTGGGAAGCTGAAGTAGGCAGATAGCTTGGGCCCAGGAGTTTGAGACCAGCCTGGGCAACATAGTGAAACCCATCTCTACAAAAAATACTAAAAATTAGCCGGGCATGGTAACATGCACCTGTAGTACCAGCTACTCAGGAGGCTGAATTGGGAGGATCGCTTGAGCTGGGAGGCAGAGGTTGCAGTGAGCTGAGATTATGCCACTGCACTCCAGCCTGGTTGACAGAGCGAGACCCCGTTTCAAAAAAAAAAAAAAAGAATGCCACTGGGACATGAGGGCACAGTGAGAGCTTTCTACCACCACCTCCCTTAAATCCTAGCCTTGCCTGTGAGTGTGTGAAGCCGGCCTCCAGGAGGACCTCTGTCTAGGGGATAACTTTATTCCATCCACTCCCCAACCCTATGAGGTGGAAAATGTTACCTCGTGAGCTGACCGTGGTAGAACAGGCAGAGTTCTAGCCCATCAGCCAGGTGTCCCAAGTTACCATGCATCAGGAGTCAGCCCATGGCTAAACACTGGGCATGACGGGGCATCCTTCAGTCCTGAGAAGGGCTTACTGTTATTGCCTCTTGACAGCTAAGGAAACTGAGGCTGGGGTTAGGAAGTGGCTGCATCTGTCTAAGCAAGAGGCCATGGTGACGTCTGAAGCCCCAAATGCCCAACTCAGGGCCTGCTGCACCCATGAGTGCTTCCCTAGCCTGCTGTCTCCATCAGAGAGCAAGGCAGCCCAAGATAGGCCTGGGGCAGTAGCTGCTGAGGACATTCACCCCATGTCACAGCCAGAAAATAGAACCCCTGAGAGGAGCCCAGGGGTAGGGCTGTCGGCCCAGGCGGCCTCTGCCCCCTCCATCCCCGAGGAACCCGCCTTGCCCCACCACCACCAGCTCCCTGGCAGGCTTCCCAGGCGACTCTCATCCCGGACCCGCAGCTAATAGCACGTTTCCAGGCTTACTCATCCAGCCTTGCTAACAGCTTTCTCTCTCTCATCCACGGCGGAGCCTCCCGTGTGTCTAAAACCCCGCTGGCGAGCAAGGCTGAGGCTCAGGTGGTTTTCGACACAGGCTGGTCTTTCACCCTGGGCACGTCTCCTCTCGTCCCCTGCAGGTACACGGCTGCCCCACACCCCCTGCTATCTCTTGATCCCCACTTCAGCCACGATGGGACGTCCAGCGGCGACTCCTCTTCCGGCGGCCTGACAAGCCAGGAGAGCACCATGGAACGCCAGAAGCCAGGTAGGGCCCCCACCAGCTGCTGTGCCCACCCGCCCACCTCACTCCACAGGACCTCTTACTTAGAGCTTGACAGGCGACACTCCCCCTCCTGTCAGTGACAGATAAAACACGAAAGAAAGCTGTAAGCGCCACGTGTAAGACTAGAGAGGGCACCCAGGAGAGCAGCGGAACCAGGGAGCGAGATCCTTATCCGTCCAGATGAGGCATCGGCAGGTTGCGTCTGCTCCCGCTGATAAGGCCGGAGCCGGCGTGCAGCTGTGTGACACAGAGCTGGGAGCCACCAGGGAAGGTAGCTGAAAAAGATTAAGCATGGTGCTCTCAGGAGTAGGACTGACTGCGTCCTGTGGCTTTTCTTTACATAAACCCTCCTATGTTGTTTTCAACTTTTATGGACATACAGCACATGTTAAGAACCCACATGGCTGGGCGCAGGGGCTCACGCCTATAATCCCAGCGCTTTAGGAGGCCGAGGTGGGAGGATCATCTGAGGTCAGCAGTTCGAGACCAGCCTGGCCAACATGGTGAAACCCTATCTCTACTGAAAATACAAAAACTACCCAGGCATGGTGGCACATGCCTGTAGTCCCAGCTACTCGGGAGGCTGAGGCAGGAGAATCGCTTGAACCTGGGAGGCGGAGGTTGCAGTGAGCCGAGATCGTGCCACTGCACTCCATCCTGGGTGACAAAGCAAGACTTTCTCATAAAAAAGAGGCCAGGCCAAGGCAGGTGGATCATTTGAGGTCAGGAGTTCGAGGCCAGCCTGACCAACATGGTGAAACCCTGTCTCTACTAAAAATACAAAAATTAGCCAGGTGTGGTGGTACATGCCTGTAATCCCAGCTACTGGGGAGGCTGAGGCAGGAGAATTGCTTGAACCTAGGAGGTAGAGGTTGCATTGAGCCAAGACTGATGCACTCCAGCCTGAGTGACAGAGCAAGACTCTGTCTCAAAAAAAGAAAAGAGAAGAGCCCACATGATGAGTGCACAGCCTGATAATCTATCGCAGAGTGGACACACCCAGGCGGGAAACAGAACATGGCTAGCCTCCCCAAACGCCCATTCCCCTCCCAGTTAGTATCCCCAAAGGAACCCTGTCCTACTTCTCATAGCCTGAGCTTTGCCTGGTTTTGAATTTCATGGAATACAGAATCACACTGTGTCTATTTTGTGTATGTGTGTCTGGTTTCTGTCACTCAGTGTTACACTGGTGACAGCCAGCCCTGTGAATGCACAGTGTATCGCAGTATCTGAGCGGTATCCCCGGTTGTCTGAATGAGCCACAATATATTGCCACATCCTGGTGTTGATAGACATTTGGGTTGTTTACAGTTGGGACTGCCTAGAGCAGTGTTGCTGGGAACATTCTTGTGCCTGTCTTTTGATGAACATATGCTCACATTTCTGTAGGGTATACACCTAGGAGTGAAATTTCTAGGTCATATGTTTATAACTTTTTTATTTTATTGTATTGTATTATTATTTATTTTTTTGAGACAGAGTCTTACTCTGTTGCCCAAGCTGGAGTGCGGTGGCACAATCTCAGCTCACTGCAACCTCCGCCTCCCAGGCTCAAGCAATTCTCCTGCCTCAGCCTCCCGAGTAGCTGAAACCACAGGCATGCGCCACCACTCCCGGCTAATTTTGTATTTTTAATAGAGACAGGGTTTCAACATGTTGCCCAGGCTGGTCTTGAACTCCTGACCTCAAGTAATCCACCCGCCTCAGCCTCCCAAAGTGCTGAGATTACAGGTGTGAGCCACCGCACAGGGCCAGTATGTTTAACTTTATAAGAAGGTGCCAAACTATTACCCAAAATGACAAAGCATCTTATACTTTGTCCAGCAACATGTGAGAGTTCTAGTTGCTCTATGCCCTCACCAGCCTCTGTGTTTCATTTATTCCAATGGGCAGGTGGTGCCATCATATTGTGGTTTTATTTATTATTTTTTAAAAACATTTTTTGTAGAGACAAGGTCTTGCCAAGTTGCCCAGGCTGGTCTCGAACTCCTGGGCTCAAGTGATCCTCCTACCTCGGCCTCCAAAAGTGGTGCTGGGATTACAGGCATGAGCCACCGCACCTGGCTGACATTGTGTTTGTAATTTGCGTTTTTCTGAAGACTGCTGAGATTGAGCATCTTCTCAATGTTTCTTCCCCATATTAATCAAGTTGTGAACTACTCAGATGAATATTTTAAATATAATTCCATAGAACAAACCTGTAGCCCCTTTGAAGTCTGAGAACTAGCAGTTGAATGGGCAAGATGGATTCAGAAGGAAGCAAACAAATGAGCAATGTTAGAAAGCGGTGACGTCAGAGTGGGAGGGGGGGGAGATGTCCTCTTAGGGAGTGTTTGAGAATTTCCAGGCAGCTGGCAGAGCTGACCCCATCAGCACACCAGCTCTCCCAGCTGCTGTGGGGTATGGAAGAGGCTGCATGCCCCAAGATTCGTGGCCTGGAGAATTCTTTAGTGTCTCAGCCCATGGTTCTCTTAAACCAGAGACAATGTCACGCCTATAATCCCAGCACTTTGGAAGGCCGAGGGGGGCGCGGATCACCTGAGGTCGGGAGTTCGAGACCAGCCTGGCCAACAATGCGAAGTCAGTGGGAATGAGAACATTCCAGGGAAAGTGAACAGCTAGTCGGAGACCCTGAGGTGGTGGTGACGAGGCCCATGTGGTGAGAACTGAGGTCAGGGAGGGAACAGGGGCAGAGTATGTGGAGCCTCGTGGGCTAGAGGGAGGCCACTGTCCTGTACTGAGAGTGGAACAGGAGCCGCAGGTCTCAGTCTTCTGTGCAGAGGAGGGGCAGGATCTGACTCGGGTGTTCCAAGGGCCCCCCTGGCTACAGATTACTGTCAGGTGGGGTGAGAGCAGGACCAGGTGGGGACAGAGGAAGGGGGAGATACGCGGTTCTGGATATAGTATTTTAAAGGCAGCATTAACCAAATTTCCTGATGATGTCTAGTTGTGGGCATGAGAGAAGTCAAGGATGCCACAGGGGTTTTGGCCACAGCAGCTGAAAGGAGAAGTTATGAACTGAGCAGGAAAACCGTGGGAGACGCAGGTTTGGGGGAAGGTACAGCCCTTGACCTTGGCCTTAGCCATGTTCGGTGAGAGTGCCCGACAGATACTCAAGTGGAGATGCTGCAGGGCATCTTGAGTTCGACTCTCAAGTCAGGGGCAGAGGTCAGCCCAGAGGCAGAGCGCTGGAGTTGTCCGTTGTCCGTGGTTTTTGAGGCCGGATGTGACTGCCTTGGGCTTTGCTCTGTATAAATGTGGTTTCTCAGCGTGACTGCCTGCCTCCCAGGGAACCAGCACCTTCTGAGCATATAAAGATGTCCCAAAGAGGTAAACCATCAATGGAGGCAGGGCAGGTGGACAAAGAGGCCAGCCTCCCCACTTTCTCGCATCCATGGTTCCCCAGTGAAAGCCACACGGGCAGTGACACCCTCAACTGAGACTAGACAATGTCCAGCCAAGCCATTCTCTGCAGTGGCCCTGAGTGCTCTGCCCGGTCACCCAGGCCACCTTCCCCAGCAGGAACCTGGGCCCGAGAGTACCCTGGGCTTGCACCGGAGGTGGCAGTGTTGTGGTTGTGGGCTCAGGGTCCCACAGGGCCTGGTGGGCAGTTCTGAGTTGGGCATGTGCTTGGTGTGTGGCCTCAGCAGTGACCTCCTTCCCGTCAGCCTCAGGTCCCACTCCTGTAGTGGACATCCTAGGTGTCTCTCCTTCCAGGGCAGTTTGGGGGGTGTCCAGTGAGATAATGCCGGCCAAGTCCACGGCCCATCATTAGAACAAGGCCTCCTGCCTACCGGGCACTCACTCTCCATGACTGCCAGCGTTGCTGTTGTTGGTGAGGCCCAGGAAGGAGGCAGGGCTTGACAGCACAGGCGCTAAACCAGGCCAGCCTGAGCCCCACGTCCTGCCTGGCCTTTTCCTACTGTGTGACCTTGGACCAGCTGCTTAACTTCCCCGAGGCTTGTTCCACATCTATTGGAGATGCTCCTGATACGCACTTCACAGTGGTACTGGGAGGATACATCAGGGTGATATATGCAGAATGCTTACGATAGCACCTGACACAGAACACACACTTAATGGGAATTATCATTATGTTAATGATCTTGAATACCGTAGTGATCAAAAGTCAGCTTTGGGGTTAAATCACCAGCATTCAGCTCCTCAGTTAGTGCATTTGTAATTTCCGTAGATAATATCTAAATGCCCTCCACTGGGGTTGGTGTATATATATATATATATATATATATATATATATATATATTTTTTTTTTTTTTTTTTTTTTTTTTTGAGGCAGAGTCTTGCTCTGTTGCCCAAGCTGGAGTGCAGTGGCACAATCTTGGCTCATTGCAACCTCCGCCTCCCAGGTTCAAGTGATTCTCCTGCCTCAGCCTCCCAAGTAGCTGGGACTACAGGCATGTGCCATCACACCCAGCTAATTTTTTTATATTTTTAGGAGAGACAGGGTTTCACCATGTTGGTCAGGCTGGTCCTGAACTCCTGACCTCAAATGATCCCCTGACCTTGGCCTCCCAAAGTGCTGTTATTACAGGCATGAGCCTGTATTTTGGCACCTGGCCAATTATTTTTTTTAAGGTCATCAAGATACTCAGTTCAGGCATACTGACTAGATTGGAGAGGTTAAAGCAGTTGACATCCACAGCAGCTGCTACTCTTTTTTTTTGAAACAGAGTCTTGCTCAGTCGCCAGGCTGGAGTACAGGGGCGCGATCTCGGCTCACTGCAGCCTCCTCCTCCCAGGTTCAAGCGATTCTTTTGCCTCAGCCTCCTGAGTAGCTGGGACTATAGGTGCACACCACCATGCCCAGCAGTGTTTTTTTTTTGTTTTTTTTTTTTTTTTTAGTAGAGATGGGCTTTCACCATGTTGGACAGGATGGTCTCAAACTCTTGACCTCATGATCTACCCGCCTCAGCCTCCCAAAGTGCTGGGATTACAGGTATGAGCCACCGCGCCCTGCCTGACATCCACAGCAGCTGCTACTCTTAAACCTGCTTCACCTTTGGACCAGCAATTCCACCAGTAGAACTCTCTGTCCCACACACAATCATACACTTGCTCAAAGTCGCATGTAGAGGGAAGGCCATTGCAAGACTGTTGAAGCTAATATAAATATCCATCAGTAGGAAACTGGCAGGTCATTGATGTATATTCACTTGGTGCAATACTCTTAGGGTAACATCACGTTCAATTATGTGAAGACCTATTGTGAAGATATAAAGAGAAAAGCAAGTATAGATATATTACAAAGTGAAAAATTAAGTTGTAGGACAGTGTTTATTATGATTCCTTTTTTTTTTTTTTTTTTAAGTTATGGGCCGGGCACAGTGGCTCACACCTGTAATCCCAGCACTTTGGGAGATGGAGATGGGTGGATCACAAGGTCAGGAATTCGAGACCAGCCTGGCCAAGATAGTGAAACCCTGTGTCTACTAAAAATACAAAAATTAGCTGGGCGTGGTGGCCAGTGCCTGTAATCCCAGCTACTTGGGAGGCTGAGGCAGGAGAATCGCTTGACCCGGGAGGTTGCAGTGAGCCAAGATCACACCACTGCGCTCTAGCCTGGGTGCCAGAGCAAGACTCTGTATCAAAAAAAAAAAAAAAAAATTATGTACATATAACCAACAAAGGATTACTACCTTGCATATGTAAAGAATTGCCAAGGCAGGTGGATCACGAGGTCAGGAGTTCGAGACCAGCCTGGCCAATATGATGAAACCCTGTCTCTGCTAAAAATACAAAACAATGAGCTGAGCGTGGTGGTGCTCACCTGTAATTCCAGCTACTTGGGAGGCTGAGACAGGAGAATCACTTGAACCCTGGGCGGTGGAGGTTGCAGTGAGCTGAGATCACACCACTGCACTCCAGCCTGGGCGACAGAGTGAGACCCCATCTCAAAAAAAAAAAAAAAAGATAGTCAAACTCATAGAAAAATGGGTGAAGGAGGCCAGGCATGGTGGCTCACACCTGTCATCCCACTATTATCCCAGCACTTTGGGAGGCTGAGGCAGGAGGATCACTTGAGGCCAGGAGTTCAAGACCACACTGGATGCTGTAGCAAGACCTCAAAAAAAAAAAAAAAAAAAAAATTAGCCAGGCATGGTGATGCACACCTGTAGTCCTAGCTACTTGGGAGGCTGAAGCGGGAGGATGGCTTCAACCCAGGAGTTCGAGGTTATAGTGAGCTATGATCATGCCATTGCACTTTAGCCTGGGTGACAGGGATGGAGGGAAATGGGATATTGTACGGCTTCAGTGAGGCTCTCAGAACGGTGTCTGGCACATAGTATGTGCTGAAATGTATTCTCTGTTACTGAGTGTTGAACTCCAAGGCATAAATTGATGGGGTCATGACCTGGGTGAGCAGACAGGCTGGCAGAGGGGCCGGATTCTTTAGGACCTGGCCTGAGTCACTCCTAACCACTGGTGTGTCTCCTGTTTTCCTACAGAGCCTTTGTGGCATGTGCCCGCCCAGGCCAGGCTCTCAGCCATAGCCGGAAGCAGCGGGAACAAGCACCCGTCCAGGCAGGATGCAGCAGGCAAAGATTCCCCCAACAGGCATTCCAAAGTGAGTCTGGGCACCACCCTGCCCCACTGGGGGAGCCAGGCCTACCTGGGTGTGGCCTGTGAGCTTCATACTTGGACACATCCTCCACCTCTGCCACCTTCCACTCAGCAGAGGAGTTGAATACTTGGTCTGGAGTTGGAATCAACCAGGTTCACATTCTGGCTCCAGCCCTCGTCAGCAGTCATCTTAGGCAAATCTCTTTACCTCCTCGAGCTGCAGTTTCCTCTTTGTTCCGTCAGTCATGGTAAATCAGCTGCTGTAACAGACAGCCCCAAATCTCAGTGACCTCGTACAGTAAAAGTGGATTTCCCTCTCCTGTAACAGCACAGTGCAGGTATTCAGTGAGCATCTACCCACCATCCACATGGTGATTCAGAGCCCGGGCTCCCTCCCTCTTGTGGCTCTGCTCTTCCTCAGAGGTTCCAAGCCCTCTGCTAGGTCCCTGCATCTTTCCAGCAGTGGAGGTGAGTGAGAGAAAAGATCAAGTGGGAGGTGTTTTTTAGCCCAGGCCTGGAAATGGCATGAATCACTTCCATCCCATCATGTGGCCACACCTAACTGCAAGGGAGGCTGGGAAATGTAGTCTTACATGTCCCAGGAAGGCTGGGAAATGTAGTCCTGTGTGTCCAGGAGGAGTAGATGGTTTACAGGGGCTCTTGGCAATCTCTTTGTATCCATTCATTCAGTGGGTGTTTGACAAGCCCTTACAACACTCCAAGCATTGGGACCATGATGATGAAGAGGACAGACCAGCCCTGTCCTCAGGAAGCTGACTTCCCAGTGGGGGCAGCAAGCAGTAAGAAGGTAAACAGATCTGTTGTATAAGAAAAAGCGCGGGCTGGGCGTGGTGGCTCACGCCTGTAATCCTAGCACTTTGGGAGGCCAAGGCGGACAGATCACCTGCGGTCAGGAGTTCAAGACCAGCCTGGGCAACCTAATAAAACCCCATCTCTACTAAAAATACAAAAATTAGCCAGGTGTGGTAGCAGGCACCTGTAATCCCAGCTCCTTGGAAGGCTGAGGCATGAGAATCGCTTGAACCCAGGAAGTGGAGGCTGCAGTAAGCCGAGATTGCACCACTGCACTCCAGCCTGGGCAACAAAGCGAGACTCCATCTCAAAAAAAAAAAAAAAAGAAAGAAAAGAAAACGCACAGTCCAGGGGAGAGAGTGACAAGCACTGCAGCTCGAGGATGACTTGGTCAGAGAGGGCCTTTGAGGGGGTGACCTTTGAGCAGAAACCTGGAGTGAAGGAAGGAGCAGCCCACGAAGATCCCTCAGGGAAGAGCATTGCAGGCAGAGGGAGCAGCAGGTGCAGAGGCCCTGAGGGGGAGTGCCCAGTGTGTTCAGAGAACAGCAAGGGGGCCACCATGGCTGCAGCAATGTGATCAGGAGGGAGGGGAGATGACGTCGGAAACCGGGACCCAAGCATCAAAGCCCCGTGGGCCGTGGTGGGAACTCTCACTTGTGCCTGGAGTAAGATGGAGCCACAGGTGGGGGACATAATCTAACTCAGGTGTTCCCAGCCTCCCACTGGCTGCGCATGGGGAATAAACGGGGATGAGGGTGCAGAGAGACCAGGGAGGAGGCTGCTGCACTGGCCCCGGGGAGAGGACAGGACAGGCATGGACAGAACCAGGCGGAGCCGTGGAGCAGGAAGTGACAGGTCCCGGATCTGTGTTGAAGACGCGGGCAGCAGGGTTTGCTGTTGGGCTGGACGTGAGTGAGAGCAAAAGCGGGGTCAAGGTGAGTCCACAGCTCTTGGCAGGGGCAGCTGAAAGCATGGCTGGAGTCACTGAGACAGGGAAGATGGTGCTGAGCTCAGTCTTAAATTCTCTGAGTCTGAGGTGTGGGAAGCACGTTCTGTGCGTGATGTCATTTGTTCCTCCGAGCAGTCCCGTTAGGCAGGCTTACTGTCACCCTCCATTGTACAGATATGGAAACTGAGGCAAAGGGACGGTAAATCACTTGCCCAAGGTAACACAGCCAGTAGATGAGAAGCCAGGATTTGAAGCTGTCTGGTCCCAGGGTTCAGGCCCAGGCGGAGGGAGGACCAGTGAGGGAAGATGCGCCCCTGCCCTGGAGTCTGGGAATGACATGCTTCTCTTGCCCCTCAGGGAGAACCTCAGTACTCAAGTCATTCCAGCAGCAACACCCTCTCCAGCAACGCATCCAGCAGCCACAGTGACGACCGCTGGTTCGACCCCCTGGACCCCCTGGAGCCGGAGCAAGACCCCCTCTCAAAGGGTGGCTCCAGCGACAGTGGCATCGACACCACCCTCTACACCTCCAGCCCCAGCTGCATGTCCCTGGCCAAGGCTCCACGGCCCGCCAAGCCACACAAGCCCCCTGGAAGTATGGGCCTTTGTGGCGGGGGTCGCGAGGCCGCCGGGAGGTCCCACCACACAGACAGGCGGCGGGAGGTCTCCCCTGCCCCCACAGTTGCTGGCCAAAGCAAGGGCTACCGACCGAAGCTGTACTCCTCCGGCTCCAGCACCCCCACGGGACTGGCAGGGGGCAGCCGAGACCCACCGAGGCAGCCCAGGTAAGCTCTTGAACCTAGTCTGGGTTCTGGCCACCTTCTACTTCTGCCAGTTCTACTTCTAGGGTCCTGATGGTGGGGTTCTCCTCCCCAGAAACACACTCACGGATGCATGCGCCTAGTCACTGGTTTGCTGACAGAATTGGGGTGCTCATGGACCTCTGCCTTATTGCCCATCCATCAGCCTTCAGGGACCCCAGGTGGAAGGAAAGAAACCCCTGGCCTTCTGTCTCTGTTTTCATCTGTCTCTGGTTCTCTCTGACCCTCTGTCTCTTTTTTCTTTGCTCTCTGCTGAGACCAAAAGTTTGTATGCTTTCTCAAGGGTCACAGACTGTATCTGTTAGAGTGCATTTGATTGGAGGCAATAGGAAACCTGACCCACTATGGCTTAAACAATAGAGGTGTAACAAACAGTTCCCTGACAAGAAGTCCAGAGAAGGCAGAGCCAGGTTAGTGATGCGGCTCATGGAGAGCCTCAAAGATTGGCGCTCTGTATCTCCCTGCTCGGCATCTTTACCATGCTGGCTCATGTCTCCCTGCCTTGAGATGAAGCTGTGGTGTCTGGCGAGTGGCAGTCGGGGGCTAAGAACAAAGGGAAAGGTGGCAGCCTCCAAGCACCTTTCCCTTCCTATGGAGAAAGCAAGCACTTTCCCAGAACCCCCTTCAGCAGCTGGCGTCACAGGGCCATCCCAGCTACAAGGAGGTCTGGAAGGTCATGGTTTGGCCTTCCAGGCTCTACAATATAGGGCGATGGTCCCCAAAGAAGCCGTCGAAGGCTTGTTCAGCCCAGCTGCTGGGCCCCACCCAGAGTTTCTGATTCAGTAGGTTGGAACGGGAGACCTGAGAACACGCATTGGTGTTTTTTGTTTGTTTTTTAGACGGAGTTTCGTTCTGTTCACCAGGCTGGAGTGCAGTGGTGCGGTCTCGGGCTCACTGCACCCTCCACCTCCCAGGATCAAGCGATTCTCCTGCCTCGGCCTCCCGAGTTGCTGAGATTACACATGCCTACCACCATGCCCAACTAATTTTTGTATTTTTAATAGAGACAAGGTTTCACTGTGTTGGCCAGGCTGGTCTCAACTCCTGACCTCAAGTGATCTGCCCACCTCAGCCTCCCAAAGTGCTGGGATCACAGGTGTAAGCCACCGTGCCTGGCTGAGAATATGCATTAAGTTCTCAGTAGATGCTGATGCTGCTGGTCCCAGGGACCACACTTTGAGAGCCGCTGGTAGAGAGGCAGACGGGAGTAAGAGAGAAAGAGCAGGCATTGGCCGGGAGCGGTGGCTCACGCCTGTAATCCCAGCACTTTGGGAGTCCAAGTCGGGTGAATCACGAGGGCAGGAGATCGAGACTATCCTGGCCAACATGGTGAAACCCCGTCTCTACTGAAATACAAAAAAATCAGCCAGGCATGGTGGTGGGCACCTGTAGTTCCAGCTACTCGGGAGGCTGAGGCAGGAGAATCGCTTGAACCCAGGAGGCAGAGGTTGCAGTGAGCCGAGATCGTGCCACTGCACCCCAGCCTGGCGACAGAGTGAGACTCTGTCTCAAGAAAAAAAAAAAAAAAGCAGGCATTGGCCAGCCAGCAGCCTGGAGTCCCAACCACACACACTGACGTTCTGATGGAGGCGATGAGCCACCTTCCAGAAAAGGGCACAGAGATGGGAAAAGTATTTCACACAAACAGAGCTCAGCCTCATCCTTGGACCCCCTTAGGGTGCTGTGACCCCAGCAGGGCTTGCTGTGCTATAGTGTTCAGTGCCAGCCCCTGAGTCCACAGCTCCACATGCCTTCCTGACCATGCCTGAGGTGGGCTAACCTGAATCCCCGATACCTATCAGGGCTCAGAACCTGGTTGGTGCAGGGATCTTCCTCTCCTGTGGCTCCCTAAACCCTTTGCCAGTCCTCAAACCCCAGCCTCTCTCCACACAGGACACCCACACGCAGGCAGCCAACTCAGACTTCTGACCACAGTCTGCAGTAGAATTGTGTCCATCTATACAGAAATATTTATGTTTAAAAAAAAAAATGGCTTTGCGCGGTGGCTTACACCTGTAATCCCAACACTTTGGGAGACCGAGGCAGGCAGATGACAAGGTCAAGAGATTGAGACCATCCTGGCCAACATGATGAAACCCCATCTCTACTAAAAATATGAACATTAGCTGGGCATGGTGGTGCACACCTGTAGTCCCACCTACTTGGGAGGCTGAGGCAGGAGAATCGCTTGAATCTGGGAGGCAGAGGTTGCAGTGAGCAAAGATCACACCACTGCATTCCAGTCTGGCGACAGAGCGAGACTCTGTCTCAAAAAAAAAAAAAAAAAAGGTGAAGCAGTGGTTTCCAAAATAATTCTTAATCTGTGTGTGATACACTTTGATCCAGTCTACTCTATCTAAAAATGTTTAATGCCGATCAATCCCCATTCAAATGATGTCATGGCTTACAGTGTTCTCTGACAGATTTGAAAACTGCTGTGTTTGAGTGACTGTAATGTCAGCACTTCCCCGGGCACACCGTGATCCAAGGATCTCCTTGCGTCAAAGAGCCAGAAGAAGGGCTGAAGGAGGAAAAAGGAGATAGAGAGAGAGAGACTGAGTGTTTTAGATCTCTCAGTTCATCTCCCTAGACAAGTGGCTGTTTGTTTTTTAGAAACAGGGTCCCGCGGCCGGGCGCGGTGGCTCAAGCCTGTAATCCCAGCACTTTGGGAGGCCGAGACGGGCGGATCACGATGTCAGGAGATCGAGACCATCCTGGCTAACACGGTGAAACCCCGTCTCTACTAAAAAATACAAAAAAAAAACCACTAGCTGGGCGAGGTGGCGGGCGCCTGTAGTCCCAGCTACTCGGGAGGCTGAGGCAGGAGAATGGCGCAAACCCGGGAGGCGGAGCTTGCAGTGAGCTGAGATCCGGCCACTGCACTCCAGCCTGGGCGACAGAGCGAGACTCCGTCTCAAAAAAAAAAAAAAAAAAAAAAGAAACAGGGTCCCGCTCTGTCACCCAGGCTGGGGTGCACTGGTACAATCATAGCTCACTGCAGCCTCGAGCTCCTGGGCTCAAGTGTTTGTCCCGCCTCAGCACCTCCAAGTAGCTGAGACTACAGGTGCACACCCCCAGGCCCAGCTAATTTTTTAAGTTCGTTAGTAGAGAAATCGTCTCACTATGTTGCCCAGGCTGGTCTCAAACTCCTGGGCTCAAGGGATCCTCCTGCCTAGACCTCTCAAAAGTGCTGGGATTATAGGCATGAGCCACCACACCTGGTGACGAGTACCTCTTAATCTTTTGAACACATGGGCTGTTTTGAATGGCTCATTCATTCATTCATTTATTCCATTCATAAGTATTCTTAGGGATTTGCTCTGTCCCAGACACTGTGCTGGGAACCGAGAGAAATCACAAGCACATTTGGATGAGGCCCCCAGGCCTCCCCACCGTCCAATGAGGGAAACAGATGAGAATCAGATTGTCACTGAGACAATGAATAACTGTGCCCACCGGGGTCGAGCGCGGTGGCTTACGCCTATAAACCCAGCACTTTGGGAGGCCAAGGCGGGAGGATCACCTGAGGTCAGGAGTTCAAGACCAGCCTGGCCAACATGGTGAAACCCCGTCTCTACTAAAAATACAAAAATTAGCCAGGCATGGTGGTGGGCGCCTGTTATCCCAGCTACTCGGGAGGCTGAGGCAGGAGAATCGCTTGAACCTGGGAGGTGGAGGGTGCAGTGAGCCAAGACTGCACCACTACACTCCAGCCTGGGGAATAGAATGAGACTCCATCTTAAAAAAAAAAAAAAAAAAACCAATGCATTCACTCCAGCCTGGGTGACAGAGGAAACTCTGTCTCAAAAATTAAATAAATAAATAAATAAATAAAACACTGTGGGGAGGGGGGAACCTGTCCCACGAAGAGGGACATGGGGCCAAGGAAGTCTACACCAGGGGTCTCAGGTCTCCGTTGTGGTAGCCCCCGTTCCAGGCACGGAACTACCACCTTAGTGAACCCAAACAACTGGGAGGATTTGAAATCCGAGACATAAAGACAGCCAGGCCTGGAGTAGACTGTGGCTGAGATGGGAGGGTGGGTATGAAATCATCTTGTGTCTAAGGAAAGGATCTGCTGAACCCAGAAATGAAGGGAATGAAATGGGAGAGGAGCCCGCTGCAAAAGAGAGCCCTGCGGTTGGGAGCTTTAATTTGCATACAGACAATTGATGCTAATTGCAAATCATTCTTATCTACTCATTAAAGCTGCTTCCTGAAGTTTTCTCCTAGGCAACCAGGCTTGAGAGTGGCGCAGCATTTCCCAAAATGGGGTGCTTGAGGTGATTTGGGTGGTGCGGGGAGGAAAATATTTTATTTTAAATGGATATATGCTTGCTTTAATGAGTATTAGAAAAAACTGTTTGCAACTCACCCCCTGATTTTACAGAAACCACCTTGGACAAGTCAAGGAGAAAATAAAATGAGTTGATTTAAAGAACTATATCCAGGCTGGGCTCCATGGCTCACGCCTGTAATCCCAGCACTCTGGGAGCCCAAGGCAGGTGGATCACTTGAGGCCAGGGGTTCCAGACCAGCCTGACCAACATGGTAAAACCCCATATCTACTGAAAAGACAAAAATTAGCCAGGCATGGTGGCGCATGCCTGTGGTCCCAGCTATTCTGGAGACTAAGGCAGGAGAATCGCTTGAGCCTGGGAGGCAGAGGTTGCAGTGAGCTGAGATCGTGCCGCTGCACTTCAGCCTCAGCAACAGAGCAAGACTCAGTCTCAGAAAAAAAAAAAAAGAAACGTATCCATGTGGATGAGAGTGTGACCTTCAGTGTCAGCCCACCTGCATTCAGTCCCTCCCTCAGCCACTTCTTGGCTGTGTACTACCCGGGCAAGTGACTGAACTTCTCTGGGCCTCAGTTTCCTCATCTGTAAAACTAGGGATAAACCACATCCCTTCCTCATAGGGATGTGGTGAAGATTGAATGTACCCTTAGAACAGTGCTTGGACTT